CATCTTCGAGGACGACGGGACGAAAACACCATTCAAAGCAAAGGATCCTACGACAGAATCCTCACGTGCTAAGGACGCATGTTTGTGGATGCGGTTACACCGAAAGAGGCTATGGCCAATCTTTTTCTTGACTCCCAGTGCTTTATTAATTCTTTGCTCAATTCGCCTTAGTGCCTTGGGTTTTTATTGGCCACTATGCGTGGCCTAACAGATTTCTCCTTTCGATAAAATTCTTCAGCGAAAATATGATTTCGCTTTTATCAAACATCATATTGGGCATGTGGCCCAACAACCTCTGTTCATGGGCTTGTTTTGAAATAGGCCCATGTTCCTGATCCAGTCCATTCTCCACACCAGCCCGTTGTTTCTCCTCCACAAACAGGTTATAAGAGCTCTTACGAGACCAAGACCGGCGCGGCGCCTCCATCTTTGTTTCCTTGTCTACTCTCTCCGATCTTCTGCCTCCGTCGTAGATAGCCTCCCACTACTGGTCTCAGCATTTGTACGGTTCACCGTCGACACTTCTTCCTCCGAATTCTGGTACCAAGGGGTCTGACGAACATCTGTCTTTTCCTCTGGCGACTGTTTATCTGATGGCTTCTCTTTTGCTCCACCTTGCTCCGCAGCCCTAGCCGACTCTTTGTCAAAATATTTGCGCACCCATTCCTTCGTGGTTTGTCTTGCAACTCAGTGGTCATCCACTGGCTCACGAGCCTCGCCTAATGCAGGATGGAGATCCCTCCTCAATAGTCTCCATTTAGAGGTTGAGGCCATATCACCCGGTTGCCATGGAACCCGGTGCCTGGTTCTTCCCTAGCCCGAATTGGGCTCACTCCTCTTCCTTATGAGGTCTCCTTCTTTGCGTGTCATCATCCTTATGTCTCCGTCGGTGCGGTTCCCGGTGATTGTGATAATCAACCACCTGGTCAGGGCACATCTTTGTGTCATGAGACATTCTGAGACATCGCTTACAATAGTTTTACAACTTCACATAATTGAATTCGATGTAGAAGATCTCGCCTATGTCTGAAACAGTTTCGCGATTGAATATCAGCGATGAGTCACACTCCACCATTACTCGAACCATGGGGAAAGGTTCAGTGTCTTTCCAATCCATGTATTCAACTAAGTCCTCACCAATCCTCTTCACCGATCGCTTCTCGCAGTGCTGGTCTGGTAGATTAATAATCTTGACCCAAAAGGGATTTTTTGCTGGGAAATCCATCCGAACCGTCGGCACCCACCGTTCAATAGCATTCATCCAACCATCAAAGTGATATGGTCTTTTATCAAGCACCGCCTGGAGATCTGATTCCTCCTTGAATCGAAAGTGGAAACATCTTCTTCCTGTTTTGATGTGCAGAGTTTTAATGATGCAATACGAGTTTTAAATTTATAACCCTAGGAAACTGCAAGTGCACAGTAAAGACAATTGTAGTACTTAGGGATCGATCCCCTGATGACTAAGTGATGAATGCACTACAAACCTATATGATTCCAATTAAGCTAAGTGAACATATTATTTGGTTTTTGGTGTTTTTAATTAAACAAATAACAAGCAATAAAGTAAAGGGATAGATATCAATTAAGATGAGAAATCAAGCAGTTCATAAAACATATGCAAACATAAGAAATCGATTTAAGATTTTAATACTAGTTGTTCTAGAACTCATATCACTAATGTAAGGTCATCCCACTGTCGTGACGTAACTAACCTTCTACGTTTTCTACCCTAATAGACTCAACTATCGCAGGTTATTACAAGGTGAAAACATGCTTTATGGTCAAGATTGATTGTTCACTAGACTCCTTAACTAACCTATCGAATTGAATACTAGGTCCGGAGATATAACAAACTTTTGGAGAGTGTATTAACCTAAGATCAACCCATGGGTAGCTAAGCCAGTTCGTGCTTTGAGAGCAAATAAAGATGAAGAATCAATTCTAGTATGAAACTCTAAACGATTAAGTATGTAAAGAAATAGAATTAAGAAAGTGCATAGAAATCAAATCAAAGCTAGTACTCTAACATGTTTTGCAACACGTAACAACAAGAGTAAAGCACATAAACATAAAGATAAATCATTGATCTATAAAGCGTAAGGAGTTAGATCTCATCTCTTCGCAATAGGGCAAAGTCAATCTATCCTTAAAAGCTTTTAGAATCAAATATGCATTAAGAACAAGAGAAAAACGAAATACATGTTTAGGTATGGATTTAGGCTGTTATGGCCAGCTGCTTAAGTTCCTAGAGAGGCTAAAAGCAAGTATATAAAGGGGTTTAAGGAGGCTTAAGTCGGCTAGGTCTTCTTCGGACAAAAATGTCTTTTTGGTCGAAACTAAAGCAATACCGGTCACAATACTGGTCGGGTTGCATGACCGGTATTTGAGGCTTCTATGGCGCTTCTAGAAAGTCGGCAAAGGTCTGGAAAATTGGCCCATGGGCGGCCCGGTGCTTGGCTTCCTTGTGCACTCACTTCACTTCGAAGGCAGTTTGACATGGCCTCAGTGTTTCCAGTGTATCTTCTAAAGTACAGCTCCAATTGATGAAATTCTAACTCCATTGGAAAACTAACTCAAAGGGCCTCCATACCAAGTTTAGTTCAATTCCAAGTTGATTTGATCCTTTGTTCATCAGTGAACTTCTGGCGTATACGTTTTGTCCAGTTTGAGAATATGCATTATCTTCATGATAAATGATTTGGCTTGGTTCCTTTGATTTGAATGAGTAGCTGCATCATAGATAACACTGTTTTTGTTCCATTTTACATCATTTTGATGATAAAACCTGTTAAGACCTGAAAATCTACAAATACGAGAAAACTACCTCTTTTGGTCGAAAAACTTTATTAATATATGTAAAAACCATAGTAAATAGATAGTAAAAGTGGTAAAATATATGGTATATCA